TTTTTTTTTTAGCTATTATTACAAAAAAAAAATACTTGGTCTAAAGAGGTAGCTCAGTGGTAGAGCTCTTCCCTAGTCTCCTCTAGACCCTAGGTTTGATCTCCAACACCATAAAAAAAAAAAAAGTAATTGGCTGAGAGTATCAACTCTATAAATATTATTCATTAAAAGCCAAATATCCAAATTATGGAATATCTCCATTTTTAAATATTGCCACCTATTTCAAATTTCAAAAATTGTATGAGGTCACTGAAAATGTCATTCAGCTTTAAGCCAGTCTGTAACCTCTGCTGCTGAATTCATTAATCTACTTCACATGAGGCATTGTGGTAGGCACTGAAGATAAAGGAATAAGTACCTCACACTCACAAAAATTGTTAGTCTGAATTTTCTTATTGCTCCACCTCATCACAAATTAGCTGAAAGAATGAAACAAACATTGTGAAAATACTAACAAAAACATAAATGCTGTATTTTCAAAATAGAAGCTATTGGGGCTGGGGCTATAGCTCAGTGGTTTAGTGTTTGCCTCGCATACATGAGGCCCTGAGTTCAATCCTCAGTACCACAAAAATAAAATAAAAATTACAAAATAGAAGCTATTAAATTTACTCGTGAGCTACTTAAAAAAATTTTCACTTACATATAGTAAAACTGATCTTTTTAGTGTACAGTCCTGAGATTTAATACAGTAGAGATTTGTGTAACCACCATAATCAGGATATAAAATACTTCTATCACACTGATCATTTCCTTATTCTGCTTATTCATAATCAAACCTTCCCCTCAACCCTAACTCTTTATCATATCTAATAACTTTTGACCTAACCCAAAATTATGAATGTTTTCTCCTACTAGTTTTATCCATTTTGAGTCTTTATATAAGATATGAAGTGTAAGGTTAAGGTTCATACATGGATATTCAATTTTTCCAACACCATGTGCCAAAAAGTGTATTAGTCTGTTTTCTGTTGCCATAACAAAACACCTGATGCTATGTATTTTATAAAGAAAGCAGGTTTATTTAGCCTGTAGTTTTGGAGGCTGAAAAATCCAAGACTGGGTAGACCCATCAGTTTGGCCTTTCAAGAAGGCCTAATGGTGATGGCATCATGGTGGGAGCAACTGTGAAAAGGAACAACCACATGGTGAGACATTAAGTCAGAGAAAGTGGGAAAGGCTAATCTTGTTCTTTTGTAATAATTCTTTCATGAAAACTAGCCAGGGTTTCAGGAGAACTACATTAGTTCATTCCAAAGATAGAGCCCCGCAGGACCCAATCATTTCCTACTAAAGACCAAGTTTCTAGCACATGAATACTTGGGTAATACATTGTAGCCACAGCAAAAAGATTATCTTCTTTCAATTTAATATCCTTTGAACCTTTGTAAAAAACAATTTCCCATTATTTGTGTGTCTATCTCTGAAACATGTATTTGTTGCTTTAGGAAAGTCATAAAATAGGGCAGCAAGTCTCCTTTGTCTGAACATTCAAAATTGTTATAGCTATTTTTCCTTTGCCTTTCCATGTAAATTTTAAAGCAGCTAGTTTATATTAGCAAAAATCTCAGCTCCTTTTGTTGCAGTAAGTGAAAGGTGATCTTCCATACAGATATGGAAATACAAGGGACTAAAAAGAAACTAAAAAAAAAAAATACTGAAAAACAAGATGAAAGTTGGAGGACTCACACTTCCCAATTTCCAAAGTGTTTCAAAGCTACAATAATCAAGACTGTGTGATTCTAGCATTAAAGATATAGACCAATGGAATTTAAAATACAGAAGACTGAATGAGCCAAATGTTTTTAACAGGAGTGCCAAGATCATTTAGTGCAGAAAAAAACAATCCTTTCAATCGACAGTACTTGCTGGAAATGTGGCTCAAGTGGTAGAGCTCCTATCTAGAAACATAAGGCCCTGAGTTCAAACCCCAGTACTATAAAAAGAAAAAAAAATAGTACTGGAACAATACAATATCTGTATGTTTAAAAAAAAAATGAAGACCTTTATCTCACACCACATAAAAATTTAATTCAAAATTGGTGACATAATTATTAAAAAAAACTGTACAAACTGGACACCTGCGGCTGACATCTATAATCATAGCTTCTCATAAGGCTGAAATCAGGACTGAGGTTCAAAGCTAGCCCCTTACAAATAGAGACCCTCTCTCAAAAATATCCAACACAAAACAGGGCTGGCAAAATGGCTCAAGAGGTAGAGTACCTGCCTAGAAAGCGTGAGACCCTGAGTTCAAACCCCAGTACTGGCAAAAACAAAACAAAACAAAACAGAAAACAACCCATACATTTATTATTCAAATGACACCATTAAGAATGTGAAAGCCCAAGGCAGAGAATAGGAGAAATCATTAACCTGATAAGAAACTTGTATCTAGACTATTTAAAGAACTCTTACAACTCAACAAGAAAAGGATAAACCAATGTCAAAATGGGCAAAGAATCTCACTCAATTCTCCAAAAACAGATATGAAAAAAAACAATAAGCACATGAAAAGATACTCATCATTAATCATTAGTGAAATACAAATCAAAACCACCATGAGATTTCACTTCATTCCCACTATAGGTATGAGAACAAAAGCATACATCAACACAAAAATTTATACAATTAATGTTCACTGAACATTTGCAACACTTGTTTTTTTACCTTAGCTAAAAGATGGAAATAACCCAATTATCCATCAATTGATGAATAAAATGTGATATATCCATGCAATGAAATATTATTATTCAGCCACAAAAAGGGGAGTAAATTTGGATTCATGCTAGAACATGGATGAAGCTTGAAAATAGTATGCGAAGTGAAAGGACTAAATTCTATTTATAATGAAATACTCAGAATAGGTTAAATCCAAAGGGCTTACCAAGGTCTAGATGGAAGAGTGAAGAGTGAGTGCTAAAAGGTGTAAGTTTTGTTTTGGTTTTTGAGGTCATGAAATGTTCTGGGATTATTAGATAGTGGTGATTATTGCACAACTCTGTGGTTGTATTAAAAACCACTGAATTGCCAATGTTTAAAGGGTAAACTTTATGGATTGTGAATTACATCTCAAGGAAGGTGATTTTTCAAAGTTCACAATGTTAACAGTAAAATTGAGATATTGCTGTCATTACTTATATAGAGTTTCCCTCATGTCAAATTGTCAATTTTATTATTTATTCATCTTTTGCAATGCTGGGGATCAAACCCAGGCCCTCATGAAAGCTAGGCAAGTACTATATCACCAATCTATGTCTCCAGCCCAAACAGTCAATTTAAATAGAACTGCCAATTTATGACTGGCTAGCCATGTTAGAATATCATGCTAAAGAATATGATATTCTAACATAAGATATATGAAATATACCAGTGGCAAAAATAGTTAAGTACATCAGTATAAACTTGTCATCCTACCAGAAAACATGTTTTATTAATTGTAGGCAAGTGGCATCAGTCAGAGAATTAGTATACATTAATTAGTGATAATTCCAGGAGTGTGAAGAAGAAATCCTTTCCTTTTCTTACTCAATTTCTGGAGGTTTAGGTTTCTCATCATAGAGAAAGTAATACCAACCTATTTTGTTGCAACCTCTACACTCTATTTAATCTTCTGTGGTGTTATTTCAGATGAGGAAACTGTAGTTCACAGAGGTTAAGTAGTGCAAGGTTATAATTTACCATTTGTGGAATTTAGTATCATTGGTTTTTTGGTGGGTTTTTTGTTTGTTTGTTTTTTAAGGCAGTGTCTTGTTGTGTTGCCCAGGCAGACCTGCAATTCCTGGGCACAAATGATTTTCCTGCTTCAGCCTCCTGAAAAGCTAGGACTATGGGTGCACACCAGAGTGCCCAGCTATTACCATTAGTTTTAAACTATTTGTTTTGTTCTCCTCATCTAAATGAACAGAAATAGGAACACAAGTATGAAGTCTAAACATCTAAATCCTAAAACAATAGTTTTCAACTTTCTAATTTTGTTGCATCTTAAGATTTACAAATGGGGGAAAAAAGACAAGAGACATTGTCTTTGAGAACAAAGGTTTGAGCAAACTGTACCAGTTTATTTACAATTGTAATTTATAAACAATAACACAAACATCTTTACATTAATATTATGAAAAAGGTCCCATGGCTGAAATGGGCAAAAAAAATGAGACTTCAGGACATTTCTAAAGGGGGTGCCAAGAAATGGAGAAAATGCAATATTAACAGTTGGAGGAAAGTTATAAATATCAAGTATTGCACCAGGTGCAATTTCATGCAAATGTCTTCAACCACTCAAATAAACTGTTTTCATTTAGATATCAGAATAAAACTTCTTGAAATATAGTCTTTTATTCACTTGATTTCCATTAAGTAAACTAAAATAACTATTATTAACAGGGTACATTTAGATATTTCCATCAACCCCTTAGAGATAATCTATTACATTTTAGAACATGGCAGATTGTATTTGCTATTTCCCAAGGAGATTTTATAAAAATCTCTCCATGGCCCCAGAGATTTTTCTAGATCTCTCACCATGTGTGGCCAATATGGGCCACAGTAAAGAAGAGAAAGCTGCAAATAATGCAGATCACTTCAGTCTTGTCACATTAAGAGAATGAAAAGTTTCAAACCACTGGAACTTTTAATGACAAGACAGAATCAAAAAGAAAATTTTAGAATGTGATATAAAAGCAATTGAAATTTATACAGCTTTGATTATCTGACTGTTATTTAAGTGGATGTCTGTGTGGTCACAGACCATCATCTCAAGAAGATAAATCAATGTGTGCTCAACACTTGTTTTGAAAGATTCTAAGTCAAATAATCCACTTGTAATGACCAATGACATTTTTGTAGATACAATTCTGTCCCTAAAATGCTCATTTTAATCTTAACATGCCTACTTACTTACTACAGCTTATAAATGCTCTTTAGTGTCCAAATAATTAGGTAATGGAGCAAAGATGACTTAGGAATCAATGTTCCAATATTTCACTAGCTGGTCTGTATTTTGCATTGGCTGGAATCTTTATCCATTAAAAAAGGTTTCATTCTTTTTAAGAACACAAATAGTTGGCTAGTTATTAACCTAAGTTTTTACGTTCTCAAACTGCTCAGTGGGTAAAACTAAATGTACTTAAGGAAGTCTCTTTCACTAATTCTATCGCTAATTTTCAGTGAAGACATTGCAAATATGTATGTGTATGGTTGTTTTAAAACCTGAAAGTGATGCATGTTCCCTTACAACAGCTCTTCAAAACAGAACTGCATTCAGTACCCTTGGTCCATAAGGGCAGAAGGCCAATTACTTCAAAGTCATTTAATAACTGACTTTTTAATAAATCATTTTATAAAACTGAAAATGCAAAGAAAAAATTTTTTAAAAGTTTAACCATCTGGAGATTGATTATAATAATTTGCACTTATACCTGCTATTCAAGCACCCCCATGAGCAAATGAAAGTTCTCTGGTTAGTATTCAGTCAGGAAACATATGTTCATGTTTCTCTTGATTTCCTTAATGTCATTTAAATAATTTTCTTTTATATTAACTTTCCAAAGCATCCAAAACTTTCATGATCTGTTGTTTTATGGCTCTGGTAGCATCCCCTGCATTTGGAATCAAATACCTATAGGGAAAAATGTATATTAATAAAGTACTTTCCTTTCAGAATTAAGCTGAGATGTCATTACCTCTGACATCAACCAAACCAGAAGAGATTCCCTCCTGTGTACTGCCTGTAACTTATTTCAACAGATAATCAAAAACTTATTTTGAAAGAAAACCTAAACATAAAAACAATATGATTTTTCATATACAGCAGAGTTAAAAATTCTTTAAACTATTATGAAATATACAAAATAATGAGATAATAAAATAAAATGTAGCAAAATAAATTATTCTGTTGACTAAGTACTGATGTAATTTAATCTGCTACAATGTCATAATTTGATGGCATCTAATTCCAAAGATAGTAACAACTCAACACTTAATCTTGAATTCAAGGATAGCCACAGCGAGACCTTAAATCAAAAAACAAAGGGGGGAGGGGAATTCAAATTCTTAAGACTACATTTTTATCCACAGATTAAAGATTAAAGATCAGTGCAGTCTGTAGCTCTTTTTCCAGTCTATGAACTGTTTGAGAAATGGAAGAGCTTGTCCACAGTAAGACAAGGAAGAAAAGGAATAACTTAATAAGAAAAGGAAGAACTTGTTTGTATTGGACTATGAATTAACTACAGGTTATATATTCCGTATCCCAAATGCCTAGGACCAGAAGTGATTTGGATTTCAGACTTTTCAGATTGTGCAGTATTTTTGATACCTAGTAAGATATATTGGGGATGGGACCTAAAATCTAGACACAAAATTCATTTGTTTCATATGAACCTTAGACATAGACTGAGGATATACAATACTTTTAATTTAGTGCATGACACAAAAGTGGAATTTTCCATTTGTGGCATCCATGTCAGCACTCAGAATATTTTGGATTTTGGAACATTTTGTATTTCAAATTTTCAGATTAGAGATGCTCAACTTGTACTACATCACTTCATCACACTGCTTACTTCACTGACAATTTCCAAAACAATAAGTTTCTGCTGAAGAAACATTTACTTACATTCTAAGACAAGTTTCTATTTTACTGCAAACCAGCATTTAGTGCAACACCTTTATCAATTATTCTTAAGAACGCTAATGTCAAAAAACTTCTGAAATTAGTTACGGTACTTATTGAAATCATGCACTAATGGCTAAACAACTTATGACTAAGGACTGGAGAGAAAAAAGATAGCAACAGATACTTACAAAAGTATTTCAAGTATCCTACTCCACCACCCACTTCCCAAAATTGAGAAACAAACTGTGCTTAATGACTTGTAGTAATTCAGATAATACCATTCCAAGAAAAATCTTACCTTTCAATAGCGAGGATTTCTATTCCTGAAGCACTGCTGTTTCCATATTTGAAGGTAATTAGTTCAGGATGTTTTTTTTTTGATGTAATTTTAACTACAGAATTTAGTGCTTGTCGAGACTGTATATAAGCCAATCCTTTCCGTGAAAGAATCTCTCTCAAACAGTACATATGTGTTGCAGTAACCAACAGATGACTTGAAAGAAAAAAAGAGCATTAAAAGAAAAAAGTTTTAGTTTGATGTGCCCACTATAGAGGAACTAATATAGCAACCTTAAAACAACAGAGGTCAATATGGGAAGGTGACCGGGAAGTAGTGAAGAGGTCTGGCAGAGATGAATCAATTCAGGTTGTAATAACTTGTGCATGGAATCTCTCTGTATAGCTATCCATATCTCAAACTAGCAAAAATGCTGTGTCTTTCTTATTATTACTGATGCCTTCTCTTCAACAAAATTGGAGAAGAGGGCAGAACAGGTTCTGCCTGAAAGCGAGGGGGCTCGGGGGAGAGAGAGGGAGCAAGGGGGAAAAATGGCCCAAACAATATATGCACATATGAATAAATGAATTTTTAATGTTTTAAATAAATGTAATTAAAAACAGTGTTGCCTAAACAACCCACTTATAAAAAAGTTCAACTCTAAATAAAATTATTTTCAAGTTAAAAAATATACAGAGGATAATCTACATAAATAACTACACAACAGAAGCTTTTAACTTTTCTTTAATTGTATGCAAAATTAATGTTTTATTAATAGATAATCCTGTAACTATTTAAAAGGTATATTTCATTAAAAGTTCAATATAACATATAAATCACTAAAATAATTTTTGATTGAAATATAATATCCTGCTGCTAAGTATTTTAACAGAATTGCCTATATTCAAAACTATTCTTAGGGCGGGGGCATGCTTCAAGTAGTAGAACACCTACCTAGCAAGAGCAAGGTCCTGAGTTCAAACTCAGTACTGCAAAAAAAAGGCCTAATTATAGAACTATTCTCAGTCAGCACACCACAGCCTGTATCTAATATCAAGATCATAAGGCAATAGATGGGTTTCTGTACATATTTTATAATATTTACAATTGAATCCTGAAAGCAAAATGGTCATAGAATTATTAAAATCCCCCTTGTATCTGAGCTTACTGTTTTGTTTTGTTTTTAGTGGTACTAGGGTTTGAACACAGCCTCACGCTTGCTAGGAAGGCACTCTTACCACTTGAGCCATTCTCCCGGCCCTTTAGCTCACTTGTAATAGTGATAATACTCATAGATTTTTATGTAATACAATCAGACAAATATCAGCCATGTCCAGAAGCGAAAACACTTTACAAGACAACTGGCCTGGACTCAAAAGGATTCAATCATCATGAAGAGAAAGGGCACGTGAAAGGGATGGGAAAAGTACTATTATACATTGGGTGAGAATAAGGAAATATAACAGACAAATGCAATGTGTGAACCACGGCCAGATCTGGATCCAGAAGAAAAAAACACTAGAGACTATAAAAGTTACTTTGAGGGCTCTGGAAATTCTGAGTATGATCTGTACATTAGGTGAATTAATTTAAAACTTTTTAGATGGGGTAATGACACATTGGTGCTCCATCAAAGAATGAGCTTATTCTTGGGATATTTATGCTGAAGCATTTAAGAGTGAAGGAAGTGTCACATCTGTAACGTTTTTTTGAATAGTTTGACATAAAAGAACTATAGATGTATGTGTGTATATGTGTGTGTGTATACACACACACACACACACACACACACGGGGTTGTGTGAGACGATGTTAATAGCTGGTGGATCTAGAAGAGGATTATAAAGGTGCTCAATGTACTATTTCTTCAACATTTTTGCTTAAATCTTTTTCAAGATAAAAATTAAATGTTTTAAAAATCAAGACACAGAAGTTGACAGGAGGAAATTATATCTTCTTGTACTCAAATTAAGAAAAAGTTATTTTGTAATTCAATTTTATATTACCAACTTTCCCCACCCAAATTCAATTTTACAAAAAGAAGATATTTTTAAGTACCTAGGAAACATGTGTCCACTTTCTTTCACTTCTTTACAAGGAAAATGATGCTTGATATCTGGCTTATTTATCCAAGTCTGAATGTTTACAACCTCTTTTCTATCATCATCTGACATAGAAGAACTGTCAATTTCATCTATGAAGAAATCAGTGTTAAAAATGGACATTATCAAGTGTAGCACATTTCTTAACAACTTGAAAAATATTTCAGTAGTTATCTTGGGTTTGAGGGTGGGAAATCAATTCTAATACTACTACTGTTTCTTTATGCCACTGATACTAATAAAGAAATATTATTATGAAACATAACTATTGTAAGAAAATCTTGAGAATTCATTTTTAAAGATTTTTATACAGAATATATAACTATGTAACTAGTAACTATATGTAACTAGACTACAGACAAATGGTTGAATTGCCAGTTAATAAGCATCTATTTTAAAGTAAAGTTGGCAAAGGTCTTTTCCTTTGCTGATTTGTGATTTTAAAAAAGGGAAATAACAATAAAATCAATCCTGGGACAAATTAGTCAAATTCTTTTTCACGAGAAATTAAAAAACATCCCAACTTTGTTTTTCTAACTTAAGAAAAAGAAATTAACATTATTAAGATTAATAATAAATGTTCTTCAAAATATAAAGAGACATAATGGAAGGAACTTCATGTATTTATACTCCAGATAATGAAGCCCTCATGTATCTCTCCCTAGTCACAGCCTCTTTCCTTTCTCACCAAGTAGAGACTATCTCTATTTGGTGTGATCAGTTCCATGTCTTCTCTTTTTTTTTTTTCTCATTCTATTATTGAAACTTTTATTGAGCTTACCTCATTTTATGAAATATATTATCATCATCAGAGCCAAAGCCAACACAATTTGGTGAAAAGAAAATTCTATAATTCAGTGCATACATGTCTTTTCTTTAACCATATATGAATTTCCTTAAATATTATACAGCAGTGTTTCAGTTTAAATGTTTATAAAAAGTAGGCTTCTTAATTACATTCTTCTGCAACTGCTACCCTACTCCCAACATTGCTAAATTTATGCCTATTTGATACACATAGTTCTGGTTTTCTCATTTTCAAGTTAAAAATATATACTGCCTAATTTTCCACAGTGTGCATGTATATATGTAAGATGAATGCAAATATTCCATAATTTATTCACCCATTTGTCTCTCCCCTTTATTAATGGAATGAGTTGAGATCTCTCAGGAGAGATAGAGACAGAAAATGACAACAGAGAGGGAAAAAAGAAAAAGAAACAATTAGAAATAGCATATTTAATGCAAGTTTTCTGAAAGGTGATTTTGTAATATCTACTAAAATATCAAATATGATTTCCTTTAATCTAGCAATCTTACTCCTAAGAATTTACTTGAAAAGTTCTTATAGACATATGTATAGAAATAATTTGCCATTTGAAACAGAATAAAACAGGAAAATCACCAGTGCTGAATCAGAAGAAGACTGGTTAAATAAATTGTAGTATATGATAGGAAGAGAGTGAGAAGCTATATAGGTTAAAGTGGAAAATATGCAATATATACTTATTTCTAACTGGAAAAGGCAAGCTGAAACTCAGGATTCTTTTTTTTTTTTCTCATTTTGTATATGTATATACTGGAGTTTTTCCTAACTCAACACACATATTAATATTAATTATGATTACTTAATGAGGATATTCTGGACTGTGGAATTATAAAACAAAGTAATAAATTATTTTTTAAAACGTAAAGACAACCATACAGTAGATAAATTTCTCTGATACAATATCTCCATCGATACAGCCAGCAGTTTCAAAGGGTTTTTTCCAGATGTCTCAATTTTGGAGTTCTCTGAACTCCTGTTCCACAACTGTCATGCTCCTAGTATGATCAAAAAGATATAAATCCAATTGAAGTGGTAGACTTCAATACCACTTCTACAATGAAAATGTCCAAATTTTCATCAGCTTAGACTTCTTTTCAGCTGAAAACTCCTATAGTAGTCAAAAGCCTACTTAACATTTCTCTTTGGATTTCTGATAGGCACAATTTAAGGTATATACAACTGAAGTTTTAATAGAAACCCAAGGACCTTCCAATTCCCTCTATGGAATCTCAGTTTGTTTAAAACAGTTGTTTGTTAGTTCCAGGATGACCTCTAAAATCACTCCTGGTGACTGAGAAAAGAAGTGTGTAGATAAGTCTAGTAATTACTACCTGTGTCATATTCTTCTTCATCTCCAATGCTGAAAACAGGCTTTACACCACGGTAAGGTTTGCCTACTCTGTCACTGCTGCTTACATGCCTATATTCAAAGAATTTTAGGAAGGAAAACATAATTTAAGTAATCAAAGATTTTCTCTAAGCATCATGCGACTATTCAAACAAAATGGAAATATTCTTTGGCCCCCATGTACCACCCAACAGCTTAAGGATAGCTATGTTAAGGAAACTGAAAAAAGATAAAGAAATTATGTTAGTAAAAGTATCAAAGGGATTTGATAGGCTGATGCTCTTAAGTCTGTAAATTATAAATTATAAACAATTTCAATATTCATGTTAAACCCAATATTTAGATCTGTTTGGTCTTAGTAAAGTCATATAACCTCTCTGTGCTGTTACCTCATCTATAAGTTGGTGATAACAATATCTATTCTTACGGGTTACTATGAGAATTAAATCAGCTAATTTTTTGTAAAGTGAACAATGCCTCGTATATAGTGAGGGCTACATATATGTTTATTGTACAAAACAAGTAATAGTAAAAAATATTACAATTCTAATAGGAATGTTCAAGGCTTCTCTTATAGGTACAAGTGTCTTAGAGATGCTTCCCACATTTTTCATTACTGTTTTTTTTCAGTACTGAGGATTAAACCCTTGGCCCACCTGAGCTACGCCTCAGCCTGTACTTTTGTTTTAATCAAGGCTAAGATTCTACATAAATATAAGCCATGAAAATGAATCTTCCTTTCTTTCTCAAGTGGAAGAAACATAAATAACATATAGATCAAAAAATTTATTCTATAGGAAGTGTGACCTCTCTCTTTTTAAAAATTAACACCTGGTCAATTTTCTTATAAACCCAAAGGCAAAACAAAAATATTTTAACAAAATACTTAATGTGTCTGGGAAAAAGCATTGCTTTATTTTCAGGGTAAGGTTCGGTTAGGATTATGCAGTATAGACCAGGCACTGATAGCTCACACCTGTAATCCCAGCTACTCAGGAGGCACAGATCAGGAGGATCACAGTTTGAAGCCAGCCTGGACAGATAGTTCGCAAGACCCAATCTTGAAAAAAACCCTTCAAAAAAAGGTCTGGTAGAGTGGCTCAAGGTGAAGGCCCTGAGTTCACGCCCCAGTACCAAAAAAAAAAAAGATTTATCTAGGACAAATGAAGGCAAGCATTTTTCTTTCTTCACACATGAAGACACTCAGAATCTTCTACTTTTAAAAGACAGTCCAATATGGGAGAAAAATTAAGTATCCTGTCTTACTTTTACAAAGGATCAAATTTTTACTTTAAATAATTTCATTAATAATAATTTAAAATAATTTTAATACATATCAATAAAAAACTCACTATAACCTAATTTTGTTGAAGTAGGTGTAAATCTTTACTATTTCCAAATAACATTCCTTTAAACACATGCACATACACACACATCCCTAAATAAGAGTTTAGTGTATAATAGATATTCTTTGGCATTTATGTTAGGTTACCTTGTATATAAAGTTTGATTAGGTTAGAAGCAATAAAACCACTTGATTTTGTTAAAACATATCTAATATAAAATTATCCCAGAAATTATCAAACTATGTTCATTAGACAGTGCTATAGTTTAGATCAGGACTGTCCCCCAGAGGTCTGTAATGTTAAGGCTTAGTCTCCAGTTTGGTGATACTGTGAGGTGGTAGAAACTTTAAGAGGGGTCCTGTTGGAAGGTCTTCAGACACAGAGGGTGATGTGCTCTTGAAGAGGATATTGGACCCTGTCCCTTGTTTTCTTTCAACCCAGCCGTGAGGTAAACAGCTTTAACTCCACCATGTTTTCCCATTAGGATGTGCTGCCTCACCACAGGTCCCAAAAGCAATGAATCTGCCCTACCAAGGACTGAAACCTCTACAGCTGTGAGCCAAAATGAATCTTTCCTCTTTTTAAGTTGATGAACTCAGGAACTTTGTTAAAGTAATGGAAAGGTGATGAAAAAGAAAAATGAAAGAAATAGTTAATACAACTTTAACTTTTCCTTCCTGTCAAAAGGAAAAGGTAATAGCTTTACTAAAATGCTTTAGTGCCATCTAGATTCTATGAGATTAAATTACAGGTTCTCACCTGCTATTAAAGCATAAACTGCTACAATATAGACAAAGATCATGCTGGATTACAGTAAATGCTTGAACCAGAAAGCAAGTATGAGTAAGGAAACAATCCTTTAAAAAATGAGCTATTCATTATTAATCTAGATTTATAATACAATTCAAAGATTTATGATTGAAAATGCTAAAGTTTACTAAGATATTTCCTTAAAGACTCACTAAAAATTAATGAAATTCAATGTTTTGACTTTTTTGGTGCAGGGGTTTGGTTGGTCTATTTTTATAAAGCAGTATATCTATACTTTTTTGCCAAAGTAATAACAGAATCATCGACAAAATAGTTTGGACAGGTTTTAACTTAATTTACTTAGCTTAGAAACTCAATTCATACTAACTTCATTAAATTGTGCTTTCAAAATAAATGTATCTGCATGCAGACCACAGAAGATTTAAATTAAAAAAATTAACAATCTGGGAGAAAATCTGGGAGCTAAATTAGACTAACTCAATGATCCTAAACAAGAGACAAGAGAAAGATGATTCACAAACGCATTATAATTCTTGAAGAAGTAATTTTCTTCAAAATAGTCTCACGTATAAACTTATATAGTTGCCTATAACTGGCATTGTGTAGGAACAGGCACAATAAATAAAAACGCTAATCAGGTAAGTTATTAGGTAACCATTATTTTAAAAAAATGCTACTTCTAGTCACTGAAAGTTTGAAATGCCCTGAGAAAAAGTCAACTCCATTATTGTAAGGCTTAACTTATATCCAAGGTATGACTAGAATTTCTTTTTAAATGTTCATAGGTATTGCTATAACTGATACTCTAATTTAAATTGCAGAAAAATTCTGTGAGTAACTAAGTTGGTAATGTACTTTTGTTCATCCTACTTGAAGATTCAGACTTTTTAAGCCTTAAACTTATGGAATTTTCATGTTTTTTAATCGTAAGCACCCGATCATATTGGAGGCAGAGAAGTAATAGATTATACTTTAAAATGCCTAAAATGATTTCTTTCAAGGAAAACCCAAAGGTAGAATCTTAGAACTGTGGTTCTTCTGAACAGAATTATATATGTTAACTCACCTACCTAAATACATGCATCTTATTGAAGAAAAGTCTGAAAATTATATATATATTTACATAATGTATATGAATTACAATTTTTGAGGCTGGCTCAAAAAAATTTTTTTTTCTGGCTCAGTTGCAGAGAACGTATGTTGTAGGCAACAAAAGATTTTCCTGAACCATGAACTGTGCCTGTTTTTAGGCACTATAATTTCCTGTTAGGGCAGAAGATAGTAGTAAATTATTTCCAAAGTGAATGCCCTGCCAATTCTAGATTACATACATACTTTCTTTGTTTCACCTTTCCCTGTCTCAAAATAAAAGCTGCAAGGTTTATATTCTTGCGTTTGAACAAGTTTGATTTTCATCTAATGAATGGGAGATAGAAACATGCAAGGGGGAAAAAAAAAAGATCAAGCAAAAACCAAAAAGAAAAGCAGATGCATCAGCATAACACACTCCTACAAGCAGAATGAACAAAGTTGAGCTTTTGAAAAAGCTGCTTGAAATTTTAGCCAAGAAGCACAAATCTTATAGACAATGTGAAGCATGCTGAAGGAAAAGGATGTTTCGATAAAGCTGCTCTACTCATCGGCTTACCGCTCTGTACATGATCTGTCTGGCCAGGGGAGATTGAAAGACATTCTATAGCAAATCAAGGCAGAGGACAGAACAAAATGATTATAAAAAAAAATGCAGCAGCTTTAAAACAAAAATCTAGTGCAATCAGTTTTTAACCCAGAGTGAACATTATAAAGAAAACATTGCAATCACCCCAGGTACAAAGAAAAATTCAGAGAAGCCAGTTTTAAGTCACACTTTAACAAGTCTTAAGTTACAGCTATCACTAGTTTACTTTAAAATAGAACGAATGCTTTTTTTTTTTTTGGTGGTGCTAGGGTTTGAACGCAGGGCCTCATGCTTGCTAGGCAGATGCTCTGTCATTCTGCCAGCTAAAATGAATGCAATTTAGAGTAAAATTTTAAATGTTCATCCCACAAAATGCAGATGTAATAATACTACAATTCAGAAGCACTAATAAGAGTTAGGCTTTTGATAACAGACACAACTCTTGAGCAAATAAATCTTTTAGGCTTGATATGATGTTTTAATAGTTATCAACAGACTCTTTTAAATAGGGATAATTTTCTGGATTAGTGAAAAGAACTATTATCTTCTTTGCTATTTACTAAATGGGAATATACGGTTGAATGCATATGTATAAAAGGTTCTGATATTTGGTTCTTAAAAATCAAATATTTCAATTTTCCCAGGACACTGTAAATAAGACTTAGAGTAAAATCAAATACTATTAAACATTTTCAAAATCAGGGTTGCTTCTGAGTTAGAATTATAAGGTTAGTTTTGAACTCTAGGAACAAGAAAGATAAATTAGACTAATACATGAAAAAAATATTATGCAGTCAGTTATGATAAGAAGCAGTAAAACAGATATTCTTAAATTTGCTTCTCAGTTATTTGCTGTGTGCCCCATTTTAATTCACAGGAAAATGAACTTTGCTTATATTTTCAAACAAAATTCTGTAAAGATCTAAACTTCATAAAGTGGGATTCTGCAATATTTAGTATGACCAAATTGTCTAGGTTTTCAATTCCTGGAGCAGAGGAGGAAATTCCTTCTCTGATACCACTGCATTTCATACATGATTCCCGTCCTCTTGACATTTGGGAACAGCTACCATGTGAAGTGTTATACATGTAAGGACCCATGAGCATATTGCAATGGTAGCAACACAGAGTGGCAGGCTCATTATGTGTATTTTCTTCTGAGCAGTGGGAAAGGAGAGGAATCTGCATAGTTAAACTTCATAGTAATAAAGTATAGCCCAGTAGTTATAAAGGAAACTGACAGAAAATGTACTTTATGATCCTTTTCTAGAATACTTTCAACTAACATTTATTTACCATAAAACACATTTCTTCAGTTTTAATTACCCATCAAATTCAAAACTATGTAAGAAACTCACCGGTCCACAGGAGTTGATGTATTCTCAATAAAACTAATAACTTTTTCCCTGACATTAACAGATTTTGTCTTCAAAGCCACAGTCATTTTATTTACCAGTGATTTCATTCCTCTATCATTTGACCCATTAGAAGATTCACCCTGAAAACCAAGAACATAGATGGATTAACCACTCTCCAAATAATTAGCAGACACACTTAAAGTTTATCCATGTATTATGGGCTAAATTGTATCTCCACCAAATTCATATGTTAAAGTCTGAACTCCCAGTAAATATCAGAATGTAAGTATATTTGTGAGAAAAAAAGTCTTTCAATTAATTTCTAAAATTAGTGTTTTCAAATCTGAAGACAAAAGGCTGTGGGTAAGAATATAAATTTATGTATTTTGGAGGGCTATTTGATAATAACATAGAATTCTAGGGATTTTGGGCAGCCTCTTGATCAAGTTATTCATTTCTAGAAAACTGCATAACTCGTTCTATGAAGCCAGTATCACATTCATCCCCAAACCAGATAAGGACACATCAAAAAAAGAGTACAGGAAATCTCCGTAAGGAACATAGATGGAAAAATTCTCAATAAAATAGTGGCAAACCAAATTCAACAGCATATCCAAAAGATCATATACCATGAACAAGTCGTCTTCATCCCAGGGATACAGGAATGGTTCAACATATGCAGATCATTAAATGTAACACACCATATTAACAGAAGCAAAGATAAAAACCATTTGGTGATCTCAATAGCTGCAGAAAAATCATCCAATAAAATTTAACACCCTTTCGTGATAAAAGCTCTGATGAAGCTAGGAATAGAAGGAATGTACTCAACATAATAAAGGCTATACATGACAGACCTATAGCCAACATTATACTTAATAGGGAAAAACTGAAACCATTTCCCCTAAAGTCAGGAATGAGACAAGGGTGCCCACTCTCTCCACTCCTATTCAACATATTCCTGGAATTTCCAGCCAGAGCAGTAAGACAGGAAAGAAATAAAAGAAATACAAATAGGTAAGAAAGAAGTCAAACTATCCCTATTCACAGATGATATGGTCTTGTACCTAAAAGACCCAAAAAAAATCTCCACCCAAAAACTCCTAGCCACCATACACAGCTTTTGTATCCAAAAGGATACAAAATTAATTTACAAAAACCAGTAGCCTTTTTATACTCCAACAATGAACAATTGAGGAATATAGGAAAATAATTCCATTTACGATACCTCAAAAAAAAAA